CTACGGACAATTTACAATCACCAATTAACCTCAGCATGTTTGTGGACTGTGGGAGGAAGCCGGAGAACCCGGAGAGAACCCACGCTGCACGGGGAGAACATGGAGACTCCACGCAGAAAGATCCCGGGTGTCCTCACCAGGACGCCAACCGGCGACCTTCCAGCTGCGAGGCGACGATGCTAACCACTGAGCCACCGTGCAGTCCAACTAGTGACAATGATTTCCCAAAATCTTGTCCATAAAACAGTTTATGTGGGTATCACAAAATGTGCCGTTACAACATTTTGAGAGCACAGATTCCAGTAGAGTACATTCATAAATGCCATTTGCCTCTTGGGGTGGCATGGTGGAGCAGTGGGTAGAACTGTCGCCTCACACCTTCCAGGTCCTGGGTTTGAACTATGGCCTGGGATCTTTCTGTGTGGAGTTTGCATGCTGAAAAATATGGACTTTAACCAGAATCACGTCTACATATCTATACACTTGAATGGTGCATCAGCTGCATCTCTCAGTGTGTCTTGTTAAAGCTGCCTCATGATGTGACAGCAGGAAAACTTCTGTGACTACTGTGTGTCTCTGTCCAGAACCACAACCTACCGGTCCAACCACACCAGTCACTGTCACTGCAGGACGTTTGGCATCTCTGTGGTCCCTGTGATGTCAACAGTAAGAGGCTAAATTCCGAACCAGAACCGTGACTTACAGCAGCTTAACGCACCTGACGCACCGGGCCTCTGGATAAGGCAGGGATATGATCATGTCAGGCTAACGTAACGAGCGCTGTCTGCGAGCAGGGCGGCATCGTTAGCGCTGAACGCTAGCAGCGGCTAGCAACACGGTGTTTAGCTCCGGAGCATCTACCTGCTGGGGCGGCGGCGGTGTGCTCGTCTGTACTGTCTCCGTTATCGTCTCGCTGGATGTCCCGGGAACCTCTGCCATCCCTGGTGCTGCTCTGCTAGCGTGCCGTTAGCTAGCTTGGCGATACCGAAGAACCGGAGCGGAGCGTCGCCGGTGCGTGATATACCGTCGTGACAGCGACAACCACGGACGCACTTCACTCACAAGCTGTGTTGTTAATGGAGGAACGTTGACCCGAAGACCAGGACGTGTGGATCACCAGTGAGTGGCGGCTAACACCAGTCAAGCTCCACAACAAGCAGCCCGACCCAAACCGGAAGTGGCATGTTTTCACGTCAAAGGTGTCAGCGATGAGAATCAATAAAACACACTGGATTATAAGTGTATATGTGTGCTATTAAGAAGTATTTGTTCTGTTAGTATTGCATTTTTATTCAATAATATTTCCACAAGTTCTTTTATTTATAAATGTGCTGGTACGCGCTGTCCCTTTTTTCTTGACAGCAGTATTTCTGTGGGGAAGATATTTCCAGACGGACCTCGTTTGGTTCCGCTTGTCCGTGAAAATACAAAATCAAACAGTGTCCTCGTGCTGAGAGTACACCTGTGTCAGACCCAAACAGAGCAATGCGACATGGCACAGTTATTCTAACATGTCATAGAGTGAAAGAATATAATCAGCTATACCTCCAAAGCTATTTCCGGGGTAGCTAGGTAGTTAAAAGGTCGAGAAAGGTGGCAAGCCTGTCTGAGCACTGGACTGACAGCACAGTAAGTAAACCCAGCCGGCCGACGCACTCACTGCTGTGGAAGAATTTGTACCCATTGTCCTCACGAGAAGTTTGCTGTAGTGGGTGTTTGGTGGTCTTCCGGTACACGGTGGGCTCATCAACACAGAGTCTGTGAAGGTACCCAGAACATCTGCAGTGTTACACCTTTTATAGGGTATGTCAGAGGGTATGTAAATAGTGGTTAGTTAGTAAACAGTTGCTAATCAGTGACAGGAGGTAGGAGAACACATGACAAAAGGTGGTGGAATCAAAGGGTCTGGTGACCATCAAAACAAGAGATCAACTTTCTTCATCACTACTATCCCAAAATAGCTTATTGAATGTGTAGCCAGTTGTCAGGTAGCGTCTCGGAGCCAGCAGACGACCTTGCCATGTCATAACTCTGGTTTCTGTGTTCTGTTTCATAGTGCGTTGCTGAGGATGTGGAGGACATGTCGGTTTCCGAGTTCGTGGCTTCCAGGGAGAAGGGCGGTCAGACTCTGCTCCAGCAACCCACCCAAACCTTCACATTCCCTCCCTTCTCAGTCCAACTCCTCTCTACGGCCCCAAGCTGAGAAACGGAGGCGTAGACGAGCGCGGGAGGAGGCCATACTGTCGAGTCAACACAGTGTAAGTCGGAAACAAGAGCAGGGTTTAGACCAGTGGTTCTCAAGCATTTGAGCCACGACCCCGAAGATAAAATAAGTTTGTGTTCGTGACCTCCAGTTTGAATTTTATATATCTCATGAGTAATAACTTTGTTGTTCATGCATTAATGCGTTAAATATTAACGTGTTAATTCCACAGATTAAACAAATGAAAGGGAAAAAAATATAAAAACAAAAGAAAATAATTTTCAAAAGAGCAAAAGAGAATAATAATATCGCATAATCAAATCATAATATTAACAAGTCCGAAAGAGAAGTGGGAAGAAATATACAGTTATAATTCTGACAGCCCTGATGCCCCCTGAAATTATCTTGGGACCCCCATAGGGGTCCTGACCCCCAGTTTGAGAACCACTGATGTAGACAGTGGAGGAGTTGGACAGTTTTTACTGGGTGGCCAGGCTGACTATCTCTCACATTGGGTGGCAGGTGGGCCAATATCTGGCTCGTTTTCTTTCAACGAATCGCTGGAGACCGCGTGGTCTTTCTTCTTCTTTGTTTTTGCTTGATTTTTGCACTCTTATAATTTACTGATACTCTCCGTCATGTAGGCGTACACAGGAACTCATGAGCACAGTTGATCAGTTGATTAAAAATCCAGAACTGTTGCCAAGTTGTTGTTTTTTTTAATAGCTGATCAAGCTAGTAAGATGATTTTGGTTTTGTTTGAATATGTGTGTTTCCAGAGTGAATCAGTGAACTGGAGCGAGAAGCAGAAGGTTGTCTACGATACCCAAACGCCTCCTGGGACAAAGAAAGGTGACGGACTTCCTGTTACTGGTTCTGTTGACTGGTCTATCTTTGGTGTTTCTCTGCACACTGAGGACCGTTTTCCTTCTTCTGTGCAGACACCAGCTTGCCGTTTCCGTCCTCGTACAGTCCAGAGTACGTGGAGTCCAGCTGGTATCAGTGGTGGGAGAAAGAGGGATTCTTCAGTCCAAAGCAACACGTGAGAATTATATAACAGAACAGCTCAACTTTTTAAAGCAGCTTCTTTGGCTGGTAATAAACTACATGTTTTTGAACTTGTGTGGTTTTACCTTTTTCCACATCACCTATCCTGCCATAAAACACTGAGTGAATATGTTATGATAAGTGCTGTACCAATAAAGCTAATGTTAGTTTCCATGATTTAAAGAAAATACCCAAACAATTAAAAACACTTTTAGCTTTTTGACAACAAATTCAGTTTTGGGAACTATAGAATAACAATGCAGTGGACACAGCGTATACACAGCATGAGCTCAGTCCACTTCTTATCTGCTTCCAGGAGCAGCTCTCGCATTCTGTGGATCAGACGTTCTCTCTGTGCATCCCTCCTCCAAACGTGACAGGCACTCTGCACCTGGGCCATGCTCTGACTGTAGCCGTGGAAGATGCTCTGGTTCGATGGTAACTCCAAGTAGCACATACAGTGTGAAGTTAAGAGTTGAGTCAGAATGTCTAAAAAAAAAGCCTGATCTTTTGATGATCAATTTGTGATCCAACAGGAGGAGGATGCAGGGATACAGGGTGCTGTGGGTGCCTGGATGTGACCATGCAGGTATTGCAACACAGGTATGATGACTTCACCTTGTTCCTCCTTTATTCAAAGGAATGGCTTCACATTTTAAGTCTTGCTTAAAATGACTTTAACATGCCTGTACGTATGTTGGTCCCTGTAAATGGTTCTCCTGTTCATGCACACCTGGAAGAGATCCTCTTCTAACGTAGATCTAATGTAAATGTTGTGGACGAAAACTGTCCTCAGCACCAGGTTTATGCTGGAGCCTGTCCCAGCTGATATTGCCAAAGAGGTGGTGTGTATTCTAGACAGGTCAAGAGCAAATTTTGCCAGCTTTTTTCCAAAGAGGGTTCTGGTTCAGTAAGTCTGATGATGGTAAGCACTAATGTGAGCATCAGTTTTAAATGCACCACAGAGACACATTCTGTGGTTTGAATATTGTTATAGCCCTTATGCGCACATCGTCGTAGCACAGAGACAAACATTTGTGCATGCACACTGACTGGGGTTAGCACAGTTTTGTACTGACAAAGACTATCTTAATCTTAACCTTTGGATCCTTTGCTTTTGATGTCATAACAGTTTTTGAGAAAACCTTGGGCATTGCAAAGTAATAGAACTGGCTGCATTTGACCCACGTTACCTGCTGGACGCTGCTCTGGAGTGCAGTCGTCCATGTCATTCAGTGGTTTTTATTTCTGTTAGACAGTGGTGGAGAGGAGACTGCTGAGGGAAGAAGGGAAGAGCAGACAGGATTTCACCAGGGAAGAGTTTGTACAGGAGGTGTGGAAATGGAAGAACGAGTGAGTCCTGACATTCACATCATCCCTTTAAATGAGCATCACATCTACTGTATGTTCTGCTGACTTTAGTCCTCATGTGTCCCAGGAAAGGAGAAGAGATCTACCATCAGCTGAGGATGCTTGGAGCTTCTCTGGACTGGAGCAGAGCCTGCTTCACGATGGATCCAGTAAGATTAGGTTCACATGCAGACATTTTGGCCAAACATTATTTATACCTGTGGCTCACTTCGATCGATAGAGAGTTTTTATTTGACTGATGGGTTTTTCTGGCAAAAAAAGGACAAGTGAAAAAAGACAGTATGACAGAGTCAGAGATTTTAATGATAGTTTTTAATAATTCCTGTGTGTGTGTGTGTGTTTTAATTTTTACTTAAAATGCAAATTATCCAGCTGATTGGCCAGGCAGCCTCTTCAGAGTAAATCATGACAATAGAGGACTACATTAACGCTGTTACGGGAAACAATGTCAGGCAGCCAAAGCTGTGAAGGAATTGTTCACAGCAAACGAAACGGCCCAAAGTTCATACTGACAATCTGTGGACAGAACTGTGAACTAAAATGATTTCAGGAAGCCTTCCAACCTGAAGAGGAATGATCCAAAATCTACCCAGCAGAAACATGCAAACACCTTGTTAGCCATTATAAGAATCAAATGAAACCTTTGCCACTAATGACGGAAACAGGGTATTCATGATGTGGGATACAATATTTTTTGCAATTATTTAAAAATGAAAATTAAAAAAAGAAAATGAAAACATAGAAAAACCTTAAATGCATCATTGCAACCTGTATTACAGTCTCTGGCTATCTTTTGCCATTTGTTCATGTTATGTGCAGCCAAAAGAAGCCTATTGGTCGATAGAAATCCACAATTACTCTGTCATAACTGTAGTTTTGGGGCAGTATAAAATAGGCGATAAGCAGCTGACTTTCTATAGCACTGTTCAATGTAAAACAAGAAGCATCTTTGAAGTGTTTGTTCTGCTAATTTTGATTTCAGAGTTACAGCAGGGCTGTGACCGCAGCCTTTGTCCAGCTGTGTGACGCTGGTCTGATTTACCGCTCAGAGGCTTTGGTCAACTGGAGCTGTGCTCTGGAATCTGCCATCTCCGACATTGAGGTGAGGCGCTTCACATGAACACAGGTTACAGCATAGACAGCAAGTGGACAAACTAATAGATACCACATACAAGGAGAAAAAAAGCCTCAAACCACGGCCTCCATCATCAGTAATGAAGTTAAGATACTGGTATCCATTTCTAATGAAAAGGCGTGTGTGTGTGAAAATACAAAGCATTTACAGCATATAGTCTGACTAGTCATGCTTAACAGGTGTGTGTGTGTGTATGAATGACACAGCAGATGTGTGTGCACAAATGTACACTTGTGAGATGTGTAAGTATATATATATTTATATAAATATATATACAGTCGTCCTCAGATGTATTCATCCCCTTCCATTAATAAAAGGCAAAACTCACAACAGTCACTCAAATAACTAGAAACTGAAAAAAGTAATGATAAATAAAAAGTTGCTAAATAATAATCTAGTGAAATAAGACGTTGCTTTTGAATTGTGGCTGAAAAGAATAATTAAAAAAAAAAAAAAAAACTGAGACTACATGCTAACCAGCAGCCCCTCAGATCCGTTTCTAAGCTGCTGCTCTACTTCAGTCCCGACTTTGTAGCACAACATCATCTGACAGACTCACCAGAGGTGAGGATGATTAAGACACCTGCTGTCACAAACGCCTTCACAGCTCTGTCGGCTGTTCTGTGTGCTTGTGGTCTGTATCTACTGCAGCGGCCAGTGATGCCTGATAAACATGAAGGCTGACTGTTTCTGAGGGCCTGTCACAAAACAGATACGATACTCACACAGTGACACAGCCCTGTAAGCTATCGTTCATGTTGATCTGGACTCCTCGGCTGTATTGACAAAGTGTAACGTTAAAGTTATGTATTTGTTATCAGGTTGATTCGAAGGAGCTGTCTGGCCAGACGATGCTGTTTGTTCCTGGTTATGACAACAAGGTGGAGTTTGGGACCATGTACACGTTTGCATACCCGTTAGAAGGCCACAGTAAGTATCTGTGACTGTCTACACACCTGGTACATGTTGTGCTTGGGCTTGCTTTGTTCTGATTTTCCCTCTGCCTGTGTTTCAGACGGTGAGGTGGCGGTGTCTACCACTCGTCCTGAGACGATGCTGGGAGATGTGGCTGTCGCTGTTCACTCCGATGATCCTCGATATCAGGCTAGTAGATACAAAAAGGGCCAGGCAGTCCTGGAATACCGGGAAGTTTAAACAGATGTGTACGTGGGAATATTGATCAGTCAGACAGGTGCAGGCGTTTTTGGAATTCAGATACGTAAATAGTTTTGTAAGGAAATATTAAGATTAGGGATGCACAATATATCGGTACCACATCGGTATCGGCCGATATCAGTGATTTTTCCCTTATATCAGTGTCGGTCAGGTGAACACACACAGCCGATGATTGTCTAACATCAGCGCCTTCGTCTCTACGTTTGATATCGCTGCTATCTCTGATTATCAGATCAGCTGTAAACGGACCTTCTAACCTGGAGCTTCCACCTGGAAAAGCTGCTAGCTTGTTTTGAACCAGCACAAACTGCTGAAACCTTTACTGCTGCTTTGATAGAGAGGTGCTGGAACACGGTACGTAGCCTCAGAGGCAGTCAGAGTGCCCACATGTCCATCTGCCCACTGCCAAACGTACCTACAATGGACTTATGGTTATAACTGGACATTGGAGCAGTGCAGGGAGACGGCCTGGTCTGCTGACATTTTCCTTTACATCATGTGGATGGTCATAGACAGCAGAAATAAATGATCCTTAAACACAGCCTGACATTTGTTACGGTAGCTGTGCTCATATCGCTTTGCTTTGTCCTCTGGTTCCAGGCTGTTCACGGGAAGCAGTGCAGACATCCTTTCACCAACAGACTGCTGCCGATCATCACTGATCCGGTGGTCGACATGGAGCTGGGAACCGGTGAGCTTGCTCAGCTGTTCATGTGTCGTTGTTGACATACTGAGTGGGTGTTGTTCCTTTACCTGTGGTTGTGTTCTGTAGGTGCAGTGAAGGTGACTCCTGCCCACGACCACGCAGACTTCCTGCTGTCACAGAGACACTCGCTGCCTCGCCTCACTGTGATTGGGGGAAAAGGAACAATGACGCCATCCTGTGGACACTGGCTAGACGTACGTGAGCACCGCTGTCATTGTTTGAAAACTTTGTATTACGATATCTATCTATCTATCTATCTATCTATCTATCTATCTATCTATCTATCTATCTATCTATCTATCTATCTATCTATCTATCTATCTATCTATC